CCCCAATTCTGACAAAGTTACCAGCAGTGGGACAGGAGATGGAGGTGGCACAGACAAACACCTTGCTGGTGCTGTGCAGCCACACCAGTGCCCAGCTCCCCATCTCACCTGGGGCACCTCAGCCCTGCTCAGCCACACCAGTGTCCAGCTCCTCATCTCACCTCAGCCCTGCTCAGCCACACCAGTGTCCAGCTCCTCATCTGACCTCAGCCCTGCTCAGCCACACCAGTGTCCAGCTCCTCATCTCACCTCAGCCCTGCTCAGCCACACCAGTGTCCAGCTCATTTTGTCTGGAGCACCTCAACCCTGCTCAGCCACAACAGTGTCCATCTCCCCATCTCACCTGCAGCACCTCAGCCCTGCTCAGCCACACCAGTGCCCAGCTCCCCATCTCAGCCCTGCTGTGGCTTCCCAGCCCCTCTGCAGCCTCGGTCCCTGCAGGGCTCCCCTGTGCCCTGTCTGCTGGTGCTGGCAGCTCATTAGGGCACAGCAGGGTCCCTGCCCAAGGTGGCAGCTGGTGGCCAGCAGCCTGCCTGGGCAGAGCCTGCAGCCAGCTCCATGCCCCGTGCTCCTTGCCAGCCCCACGGCGCTCCCGCTGCAGGAGAGCGTTTTGCTAATCCCTCCATCCCTGCCCCGTGCCCAGCAGCACAGCCTCCTGCCAGCTCTGCAGGGAAAGGCTTTGGAAGAACCTGGGGCTCCAGCAAGGAATCCTTCCCTGTGAAGTGGCCAGGGCAGGAGCCACCTTCCAGCCCTGAGGGCTCCTAAACCACCCAAACAGCCTCAGAACAGGCCCTTATGTACACAGAGCAGATTTAACTCTGTCCAGGCTGGAACCAAACAGTTCGTTCTCTCAAAAATTGGCTGATCTTCCTGACAGAGGGCCAGGAATGCTGGGAGGGGTCTGAGAGGGGTAAAGTGTGGAGCATTCCATTGTCCCACCCTGCTCCTGGACAGCTCAGCCTCCTCCACACACACAGAGCAACAGATCTGCACTACCCCAGAAAATTAACCACAAGTTATTGCCCAGACCACAGCCTCAGTGGTGTTTGGAGGAGGATTAGATATTTATCAGGAAAACAAGGATGTACACAATAGAATTCAGCATGATTAGTGATAAAGCCCACAAAGATCCACTCCTGGGAGCCAGAGCCAGTTGCTCCCTTCCAAGGGAAGCCCTGTGCACCCAGGGTGGGTCACCTCACCTCCTGCCAAGGCTCCTGCTCCCCTCCTGCCTTGTGGCTGGGAGGGAATGGCTGTCACCTCCTCCCACAGACCCCAGCTGATCCTTTTCTCTTTATAGTGCACCAGAGAGATGAAACCCCAGTGCTGGTGTCCACAAATTGCTCCTCCCTGGCATGGTTTAATCTAGGAACAGTTCTGTTTCTCCTCTGTGAGAAGAAAACCCTCCTTGATCCTGGACACGCTGGAAAACATGAGCCTTCACCTCCCTGAAGGAACTCTGTAGCAGTGTGGAGCCAGCAGCACTCTCTAGTACTCATTAGAGCTTGGAGAGCTTTGTGCAACACAAACAGACCGACAACCTGGAAATAAACCTCTAACATCCTCTCCCTGCACACAGAGAAGCTTAATATATATGTCACAGCCTGTGCCTATAGTCTGACACTCTATCACAGCAGATGGGATCCTGCTAAGCATCCTTGGGATCAGCACTGCAGAAAACAAAAGGGTGGGAAAGGCCCCAGCACCCTCTTTCTTTTCCATTACACACATCTCATACAGGAAAGGTGCCTTTGGACAGAAATATTCCTGGAATAGCCAGGATTTATGGCATGCCAGAAATATAAATGCAAGCAGGATGTTGCACTGGAGCTCAGCCACCTCATCAAGGGTCTCCCACCACCCTGGGGAGCTGCCCAGCCTGCAGGCAGGAGAAATTCCTTGCACACCCCCAGATGTTTAACAAGTCCTTTCCCTGTAATAATGATTTCCCACAGTGGCTTACACAGTCCCTGCCAGGGAATATCAGAGATTTCTGTCATTAATTGTCTATTTGTCCAGGATAGGATTTAACTGGAAATTATTTGTTTAAAAAGGAGAAAAGTATCTTGGTACATCGAGGAGGTCTCTGTCCTTTATTTGCATCGTGTATATAATTCACTGGAAATCGAAGTATTCAGATGATTTGAATAAGTTACTGGCCTCTGCCTGCCAGCCAGGAAGTTCAGCAGCCTGTGGTGGGGTCAGTACCTTTCCATGGCTTCTTACTTTTGATTTTTTTTCCAGAGGAAACAACTCAGCACCAGTCTATTTCCTAATCCACAGTCTTCTGCCAGAGTCCACACAAATGTCTCTAAAACCCAAGGGGACAAATCACCAACTCCTCTCAGCCTGCACTGCCTAAGGAGCTGCTCTGCATCCAGAGATGTTTTCTACGAATTTTCTACCCCCCTTACCCCTCCTCCTTTGGCTTTTCCCATCTCAGCTCATGCTGGGGAGAGCAGCACAGAGCTGCCCCTCTGAGCCCTTCTCAGAGCTAAGCTGCCTCCTGTGATTTCCCAAGCTGGCTGCTACCTTCCAAGCATATCTTCACCATCTGAGGCTTTTCAGGAGCTCTTGTCTTTGCCAAATCTCGCGTTCCTGGAGTTCCAAACTTTCCCTGAATTCTCTTGGACTTTCCCATCTCCCAGCATTGCAGCCTTTAATAACTGCTGCTTACCCACATGTACACACAGAATGTCAGAGACCTCTGGCCATTTCCTGACTCATTACTCACTCCTTGGCTCTGCACAGCTCACATAGGGAATTTTGGAGTTTCTGAGTTGCTGCCTGCCCCGTGCAGCCCAGCCAGCCTGGTTGTGGCGGCCCTGTGGCAGGTTCTCCATCAGGTCTGAGGAGTTTCCAGTGCCTCCTTCCTTTTCAGAGCGTGCCAACAATGATGTTTTCCAGCCACAGGCTCTGCAGGTATCACATCAGCCACTTCCCAGGGTGCAGAGGCACAGAGCACAGCAGTCCGTGCCACCAGGAATGCCCCTGCACTCTTTCAGCTCAAGATCCAGCTGCTTTCCCACGCTCCTTGCACAATCCACGCAGGCCGCACCCTTTCCAGAGAACTCACATGGAGGGTTTGACCCCACACAGCCCCACACAGCCCCACAGCCATTGCACAGGGTCGGGGTTTGAGGCTGTCCTGTGCTCAAGGTATTGCAGAAGTGGTGCATTTCCCTGTGACCCAGATGCTCCTGCAAATCTGAAGCTGCTCTGCCACTGCATCCCAAAATTCACCCTCAGATTTCTGCAGAGGCTTTGGGAAGATGGAGCATGCTGAACTCAGAGCCTGCCCCATGGACAGCAGGGGCCTTTTGTTGAGAGGGATTAGTGCAAGGGGGCTGGAAAGGGAATCCTGCCCCAAAACCCAGAGAATTTTGTCCATCCATGGCCCTTCCCACCCTGAGACTTCCTGATGAAAGATCCCTCGTAGAGCAGAGCCAAGCAAGGGGCCCTGTAATAAATCAACACCCCAGAGACTTGGGCTGACGCAGACATTCCTGAGCAGATTTAATTCTTGTTTGTGAGGAGGGATCCCTCCACATCCACGCTGTGCACACCCCAGCCACTAGAGAAGCATCTGGCAGCCAGTCCACAGCTCAGCTACCCCAGACACATCACAGGGCTGCTGATCAGCAAGAAAACCCTCTGGTTCCAGCAGTTCATAAGCTTATTAAAGATAGATTTGTGCTTTGGTCTGCAGAGATAAACCGATCAAAGGCATTTTGGTCTGTGTGCCAGTGCCGCTGTGTCCCCATTTGGCAGAGAGGGAGGCTGGGATGTGCTCCCCATTCCCAGTGCAGGGCATTGGGGGAGCAGCAGGGAGTGTGCCCAGGGCCACATGCAGATTGCAATAAGCCCATTCTTGGCTATTTGCATGGGGAACTTGGAAGCAGCTCCCTCACAGGACTCCCTGCTCTCCCCAGCCCTGCAGAGCCAGGGGTGGCCAAGCTTCGCTGGAGTTCTGCTGCCAGCCAGGGATCTGCTCTGCTCAGGAGGAACAGCTAAAAGGGGAAACAGCTCCTTGCACAGCTGGCCCAGCAGCTGATATTTGCATAGTGCTTTGAGACCCGCAGATGAAAGATTTGAGAGACACGAAAGGCTGTCACTGCCTGTTTGTCATTTCGTGGTTCCTCCCTGCTATCGCATGCAAAGGAGACACCCTTTAGGAGAGGTGAGAGCAGCTTGAGGGAAAGATGAAACAGTGGAGGCTTTTCCTGCCACGTCCCCTTGCACAAGGAGCACATCTGCACCCCAGAGCTGGCTGGGCTCCAGCTCCCTCCACCCATTTTACAGTCACCCCACCTCTGTCCTTATCTGTCCCCAGTTCAACACAGGAGTCACCACCATCCACCCTGAGCCACCCCTGATATCCCTCCAGGCTCAGCTGTGCTTGTCTCAGGGGGTTCTTATGAATTGCAAAGCCAAAAATTGGGAATGAGTGACAGCATCAGGGCTCCCTGCAAGAGGCAAGTGTGTGCCTGCAGAAGAGAGCCGGGAGGGACGGAAGGAACCTTGGCACATGGCAAACCAGCAGCAAGGGCCCTGAAACTCCAAGTGAGTGAGGAAGGTGATGGTGTCACTCAAGAAAGCAGCACAGGAGGCAGCAGGATCCCACCCCCGTCTCCGTGCCTGGCACGGCTCGGCAGAGCCCGGCACGCCGGAGCTGGGCTCGCTTTGAGCATTTCAAATTTGCCGGATGATAACCTCGGTGTCTGAGCTCGCACTCCGGTCCCACCCACTTCAGATCTGACTCATGTTGCAGTCACCGCTGCCCGGGTATTGGTGCGAGAGCAGGAGAGAGGCTGGTTCGAGAGGAGGGAGCGAGGAGGAGCAGGAGAGCAGAGAGGAGCGAGGCA